CACCCATCAGCCGTTCCCTACCACTGCCTGAGTGCGGGAGGAATACCCACACAGCAAGAACCATTCACAGCAAGCCTTGGGACCTCATTCTCCTATTTCAACACTCTGGGTAGCAAAAAGCCTACAGACTTTCCAGAAAGGTCTGTGATCAGGAAAGGTCATTATTTTGGAAACAGCCTTTTTGACACTATCTTTTGAAGATCTAGTTCTCGCAAAGCAGGGAACCAGTAAGGGGGACCACGACTGCCTCCGGGACACCAGGCTCCAACTGCCGTCTCTGGGAACGCACCCAGTAGGCTGCACTAGTGCAAAAGAGTACACTAGCTACTATGAGACAGCAAATGTGTTTTCAATTCAGAAGGAAACAATCAATCGATCATACCAAGAAGTCACATCTACTCATTCCAGGGGGACCTTCAAGGTGCTGGTCTGGATTTCTTAAGGTGCTTGATAGTGAAGGACCCACCTGGGTAAGCAGTGCTCTTTTTCTCTGTGTGCGTGATGGAAGGAATAGATGGGCAGAGCTACTTTTTCCATGTAATCTTGGATTTGGGTTTTTACAGCCGCATCAGAAGGTGAGCTGTAGGCTCACGCTCTAGAGCTGCGCTCCTACCACAGTCACTTGTGGGGCTGCTGGGAACTGCACGTATAGCAGCTAGGTCTTACGCAGTAAGTATCTGAGGTTCTTATTTCTTAATGTTTACCTTCTACATATACTCAACGACTGAGGAAAAAAGAGGCTTGTGCATTTCTATTTGTTAGCCTGATTTTCAAAGTCTCTCATCACCTACATGCTCGCTGTTGTCTTCCAAGAAATCTCCAAGTGTCGAGCACTTCCAAAGAGCAGGTGAAGAGTGCACATTTCTACAGAAAGAATCTGACCTGCAGCAAATATTTAAATGATGAAATTAAGAACAGGGACAAATTTAAAGGGGTTCTGAGAAGGTCTGAGAAATTATGACTGCTGCTAAGCATGTAAAAGTTTCCTGTGAATGCTTTACAGAAAATTCCTGTTAGGAAAAAAAAAAAGAAAAAACCAAACCCAGGGTGATTTGAGTGCAGTTCACTGTCACAAGACAGCTACACACACTGACATTACAGCATGGGGCTGTCAGTTAAACAAAAAGCAGCTAATTCTGCAACACGAAACTGTGCAGATGCATAAAGGGCAAAGAGAACCAAAGCACAAATCTGCATGCTGCCTGTTATGCATGAAGGGAAGAATTATTTCAGTGTTTACTGTAACTGTGCAACACAAGGGGGAGCACAGCTACCCCACAGCAGCCAAAAAAAAAAAAAAAAAAAAAAATTAAAGCTATCTCTAAAGAGCTCAGTGTCAAATAATAAAATAACAAGCCTACAAGGGAAAAACTGAAGTCTTTCAAATGATGTTCAACACACAGAAGTGATGAACAAATGTGAGTTACAGATGCGAGTGAATCTGGAGCAGATTGGAAATCTGAGAATTAGGTCTTTTTGGATGTTTCTTTGTAAAAGCAACTGGAATCTTGCCAGTGATGGGAGAAGAGTGCACTTGGCCCTCGTGGCAAAGGACTCATCACTTCCAGCTCATTAACTCCAACAGGAATCTGTCAACACCACCGGATCCAGAATGAGTTCTGTTAGGAAGTAAGCTGAAAGAATACCTTAGCGAAAGACTTCCAGCAAGAACTCTCTACTTATTAAACTGTGCCAGAAGAAAACTTTGAAGATATCAGTGGGCTGGTATGGATGATGAATAAAATGCTCTCATTCTGTACAGTAGCTGAGGTTACGGCTGGTAAGCACCTCACCAGCTCTGGCACCGGAGTCAGGACACCCAACAGATTCAAAGCCGTAGGTATTCATGAGGCCCTTGAGCTCAGACAAGGGCCAAAAGGCTCTGGCTGAAGCAGAAATCGCCACGGAGCCCGAGGCTTGACAGCACGAGACAAGTATGTGACAGCATGGCTAAGAGAAAGAGGGAGCTCTGCGGGAGCAGCAGGACTCCTGGAACACGGGCGGATTCTGCAAAGACCTGGGCAAGCAGAGGCACCAGATAAGAACCAGAGGCAAATTCCCACTAATTGTACCTCTTCAGGTGAAAGCAAACAGTACTAATTGAAAGGTCACCTTCTGCTCTGTGACCACAGCGCCATATGAAGATGTAAGACAGCCGTGTCACTCAACAAAAGAAGACAGATACCTGTAGTGACTAAAATAGTGAAAATCTGCATGAAGTATGTCAGCCTCCCTGCCAGGCAAAACGAGATGACCCTTAAGCTCAGTACCTATGGAGGCAAGAGACTTTTACTTTGCTAATCCTATTAATCAGTTACATTGCAACATCATCATACTTTTCACATGCTAGCTTTTTCAACACAACACAAAGCTTGATCTTGCTCCAGAACTGTTTAGCATGAGCTATTGCATGAGGAAAGACTGGGTTCAGCTGCATTTTCGCAACTCAGTGGAAGATGAATAGAGCAATGCTGAAACTCCCAAAATTACCTTGTTAGAAACGAACACGAAGGCAGGCGTCCATGCTTCCCTTCAAACATGCCACTACCTTCTTTGAAGATGCTGTCCGTGCAGAAGCACAGGGGCTCCAGCACTCCCTGACTTGTAAGGCATCACACTGTCCAGGATCCATCAGGCAGAGAAGTGAACGTGCCAGGTAACACTGATCCCGCTGTCTGCAGCGTCGTATCACAAGGGAATATCATCTTTTGCAAGAAATAAGCTGGAAACCATCTACAAGCAACAGCAAAACTTCCCTAACACTTCCACTGATTACAGATGGAAGTCTTGTTGTAGAAGCAGCATCTCACCCACTGCCGAGCAGCACCAGGCAAGAGTTTGCTGGGCCTGGTAAAGATTAACAGCCAGGTACAAGTGCTCTCCTCAGATTATCAAAGTGAAAAAGAGACAGAGGCTCCATCAAGAAAATTATCGTTCTGTGCAGCTCACACATTCCTGCAACATTTCAAATGGACCAAAAACTAGAAGTAGGAAAACTGTCTGGAAATAAAACAAAAGGGAGAAAAATGTACCAGAAAATACAGCTTAGAATTGAGAGTATCTTAAATACATCTTAGTAGAGGAACCAAAACACATTTCAGTCCTCAGAGAAATCTGTGCTAATGAACAGTATTTCCAGTCCAAAACAGATAAAATAACAAACATCTTTAAAAAAAGAGGAAGAATAAAGTGTAATTGATAACAGATTATTTCAGATATTTATTAAGGAGAATACTGTATAAAGTGCACAACTAGCTTGGTTTTGTAATCAAAACAAGACGTGGTGAAGTGTCACCAAGATTGCTCATTTTAATTTACAATACAGCTTAGAAAACAAGAGTCAACCTGAGATGCAGCTCTTAAGTACTCCAGTTATTTTTGGCCACTGAAGTTTTGAAAGCTCACCCTGCATCTGTGGTTTAAAAAGAAAAAGTGCCTGTACTCCAAAGTGCATGGCAGAGACAGGAAACATACATTAGTATGCCAAAAAAATTAACAGGACAGAAAGTGAATCAATAGGAAGACTGAAAAAGAGAGATCATCATGAAACTTCCCTGCTTGAGCAGAACAAGAGGAGTCCAGGGAAGCGTATGTACTCTGAGCTCAAGGACGACGTGACACTTAGGCAAACCATGTTTCATTTGTATTGCAATGGTCTTTGCAGGAACTTAGGAGAGACTCTCATAACAGTGTGCTGGATGCTTCCAACACCAAGAATAAAATAATAGTCGCAAATTCAGAAGTGTGTAATGGAAGTACAGTACAGGAGGTGTCACACACCAGGAACACTGATCCTGAGGACGCAGTGGTCATGACATTGCACCTGCCAACGTGCAAAGGTTTACAAAGGTTAGTGACGCAGCAAAGAAGTAGGTTATGGAAGCATTTTCAAGACAAGAACAAATCTATACTGGTAAAGTGATGGTTGAGAAAAAGGGAACAACAGGAAAATGCAACAAAACTCAGTCTGAAATAAGAAACCAGAAAAACAATCACTGTGACAATATTAAAAATGTATTTCAGATAAGACTTCTCTGTGTCTCAGTTTGTATTTGTAAAGGGGAATATTAATTCTCAGTGATCTAATCACAGCACTTTGCTGATGGTGAACAAAAACCTAGAATAGTACTAGAACAAAAGAAGGATGCAGTTTTGGTGCTGTGGAAGAAAGAACGGTAACAATGAGATAAAGTGGAGCAGAACCATGGATCCAATGAAACCTTACGGTTTGGGAAATTGTAGGTAACAATACAGTAAACACCGAGTAAAGGCCACAGTGGTGAGAATCAAGGTTTCTGCTGGATCTAAAGCAAGAATCTTAAGAATCTTGGCATCGTATGAAATGTTGAAAACTATATTAACAGGAACACTGAATAATCAATCAGAAATAACAGTGGGAGAAGAAAATGAATACCTTTTCAAAACCAGTCTCCAAACTACATAACACTACGTGCCAAGAGCAGTGATGATTTTTTGGCAGCTTGCGGTAAGGGTAACAAAGGAAAAACCTAAGGTTAAGAACCTGATGGTGCAGAAGTGCTAGGCACTACATTTAATGCAATCTAGCATCACAGATTCATGGCACCTTAGAAAATCAGGCTCTGAAAAGATAAAACCCACAATTCAGCTGGATGAACTTGGTAATTAAAGACACCTAAAGGCTGTGATATTCACCTGAAGGAACCAACAAAGGGCAATTTAAACCTGGATCCCAAATAAAAAGAGGACTGTCTTTAAGGAGATTCTGTGAGAAAACACCTTGCATAAGCAGGAAAGGTTTTGAACATCTTATTTATTCCTTGGTATATAACCTCTTTCTGTCACTGAGGGCACTCTGACAGCTAATGAGGTAGGTATAGCACAACCAAGTCTTTCCTGATCAATAACGGTGATGGTAACACTTTCAACTTTCTTGATTGGCCTGGAACAGAAATCATGATGATACTGGGTTTATGTATCCCTGAGAGGGAGTATAAAACAGGAAGAACAGGAGTCTTCTCCACTGCCATGGTGGGAAACTGTTACATGAAATCAATGTATTTGCACAACATTGCTGCAAGATACGCATGTTTTATAGATGGGAGAGCCAGAAAAGTTAATTGACTTGCCTATGGCCATGAAAGCAGTCAGTGACAGACCCTGGATTCATGATCAGAACTTCCTTGCCTCCTGCATCATGTTCGAACAGTTATCTACTTGCTGGCCAGAGGCTCACTGCATGTTTGTTCTAACATATTGTATAAAGATAGTCATGCAAGGGATGTAGCACAAAGTCACTGAAGAACAGAGCGCTCTCTGTACCAGAAAGCAGATTTCTTCTGGAAGCTGCGTGCAATTGGGAACCTCTGGTGGGAAGCACACATCTGGTTTCTTCACCCTGGAATGTCTGGTGCTTAAGGCTTAGCACAATGAGGACCATTTTAATGACTAAATGTAACAGAGATAGCCCCTACAGGCATAAATTACAAGGTGTCTGGTAGTGGAACAACCTTTTCCCTATGCTCTTCTGACCTTTGAAAAAACAAACATTAGCCTGGTTAATTCAGTGGACTCATCACATACAACTATAGATCAGTCTATATTTCCATGTCCACAGGTCGGATATCTCCAGTTTTGTGTTCTTTTACCCACAGTTCCCTGTCTTTGGCAGGATCCACTTTCCGAAGCAACTGATCCACGAGCTCTACTGTCTAAAATAAACAAAACAAGAATCAAAATGTCAAGGGCGCATTTCAAGCAGAGACACTCATTGCTATGAAGTGTAGAGTAGCTATGGGCACGCCTACTTTGCATTTGCAGACAAGTGAGAACTGCACGTATGTGAGACTTGGTGGACAACAGCCAGATCTGAATGTGAAGCCTCGTAGCGGGAAGCAGAGAAGAGGCAGACTTTTAATGTCAAGCAGAGACAGGCTTCCAATGCCAGGCATTGGCCAGTTGGTCTCTAACTCCTGTCCTGCAATCTGTACCTTACGCCAAATACAATCATGTACTGAGGTTGGCATACATCCCCTGTATTTTTTAATAAGAAAACATACATACTCCCTCCCCCAACAGTGAAACTGCTTACCACCTCCCTTGCAAGAACAGATGACCTCAAGTAGTAGTGCATCACGTTAGAAGAGATAATAAAGGCTCATGCTGGCCAAATGCAATTCAATTCATTGTGTCTCCCCCAGCAAAAAGCTGTGATCCAGCAGTATGAAATGCAACCAGGGTCAGAGTCTGGGAGGAGCCGGACTGTAGGGCAGCAGTACAGTACTGCTGCGAACTAACAAGCTGACCTCATACATTTTTCACATCTCCTTTTGATACAGGTCTGTCAAACCAGGACAGGTGCTGTTTGGCTCAGCTAAAGGGCAGTAAAGACCAAAGGGACCAAATAAAAAGCAGACTTACACTTTGGTTGAACATGTCTGTCTCATGCCGCAGCTGTGTATACTGGCAAAGATGCTGCCGAATCATCTCCACCCTGTCAACTTCTAGTCTCTCAAGCTCCTGGATATGAAGAAAAACAAGTCCATATTTTTCTTGGAAGCTGAGCTTGAAGGCCGAGAAAGGATGACACACAAAAGGTTGCCAGTCAGTGTGACACTACCCCAAGGTCACGCTCTGGGGCTGCACTCTGTGGTTGCACATCCCTCTGATTTGCAGAGGATCAGAGACAGCAAGCAACAGCAATCACTTAAGCCTGAGCCTAATGACAGAAAACAAGGTCAAAACCTTTCCAAAACTGAGACAACCAAAGCAGAGAGAGGAGCGACCGTCTTCAGGGATGCTGTAAACAGGAGGGAATCTGTTTTCCTGCAAGAAGCTTTGCATGCTTTGTTGCTAGCTCCAGAAGTTACAGCGATTCCTTGGGGAAGCAGGAGACCCCGTTGGGGTGTATGGCTCAGACAGTCTGACTGCCCTTGGTCTAACCAGACACCTGTAAAAGCAGTTTTATCTGTTCACCAGATGATGAGCTGGGACAAGACTCCACCTCGCTCAGCTGGCAGAAAGCAGACCTCAGCAATGCTTTAGCTGAAAAGGCAGGTGATTTCTCACTTTCCTCCTGACTTTTTCTGCCTCCCTCTTCTCCTGGATTCTGATATCATACCCCAAAATTGCATTTAGTCCCTCCTTGTTCATCTGACCTGCAGCAGTGGAAGTAGCATGCTATGGAAGTCTGCTTTTAAAGATATAACTTGTAGTGGACTTTGCTGTATCACTAGAAAGCTCTGTAGTCACAGGGACATCAATGGGGCTCAATCTTGAAAAAACCCTGCCTTCAGAGGGCATTTCTAGGCATCACAGTAGAGCGCAACGTGAGCACAGACAAGCAGGCAGCCTGCTACATCGCCCTCCCTGCGCTATCTGCAATTTGTTGAATGTCTTTTGGGAAACAGATTCTTCATTACAGCACAAAAATCTCAGGTGGCAGACTATCTGCCTGGGGAGGAAGAAGAGTAAAGGAGCTTACGGTATGGACAGGACTGAAATAAACTGAGCTCCTATTGCTGTTGCCACTTGATGTACTGTCCTTATGGAAAAAATGGCCCACTTTGAACTCGGACTCCCTTACTTAGGGCACAGATGCTCAGGACCAGAATGCAGAACCCAGTGTGCACGTGCTGGTAAGCACACCATACGCAGCACGTGCATTGTATCTGCACCAGAAACCTCAGGTGGAAGGCATGCAAGGAAACACAGATCTTCATACCTTGGCTCTCTTGACTTTGCATTGCATATGAACTAATCTGTATCTGAGCTGATCAGATGCAGACTGTTTTTCAATCTAGATTTTATATTCATTTATACCAAGACTTACCTTCAAATGCTTCTCAGCCTGAGTTTCACAACTGACAAACCTGCTGTGCAGCCTGCAGGCTAGGACTTCCCTCTTGAGCTATCTGCTAGTGCACTTCCAGAGTCGTATTTCTCTGGCAGCAAATATGCAGCTAACATATATCTGGCCATATCTGGACTCAGGGGCAGTGATGGTCAGCGTCATTCGCATCAGTGAGAAATCACCAGTGAAGGCGAGAGGAGAATCAGATCCCTTATGTATAGGAACAGCTAACTTTTTCTCTGTTGTTCTGCTTCTGGGAAGACATCCGCCTCCTGGTTTTCCACTCACCCATCTGCCTTTATTTATTTACCGCAGTTTAAATATTGCACTGACACACTTCCAAACGCTGAGCAATTCATTACCCTGCTTCTTATTAGGAGGAGTTTACAGTTTTGTGTTTGTCCAATGAGAAAAAATACATGCAAAAGACATTTTTATTTCCCACTTTGGAAAGCAATTGGCTGTTGTCCAGCAGGGCTCTAAGGAATGACATGAGGGAGGAGCCCTAAAGCCAAAGTACAGGTATTTCAAGGAATACAGAACATCAAAGCTGTATCTTGGCATCCTGGTGACTCAGCCCCTTAGGGTGAATACTGTGAGCTGTGTTATCTTCAGAGAAACAGAACAATAGGCAATTAAAGCATGTCTCTTCTGAGCTGGCAACACTCATTGAAGAAATTGTAAAATCATGGAATACAAAAATTCATTAATGTATAAATGGATCCGTGATTTATGACATTTTTCCATGTCTTCCTTGTGCATTACTTCATCCTTTCTGGTGACAACTCCAGCATTCTGGTGCCTGAGCAGCCCTGGACTACTTTAAAGCATTTCGCAAAGAAACAATTATTTCTGCTTTCCTCTAATGATATGAGTTCTTCTTAGAACTGAGAACAGGAAACACAATGGGAGATTTATCACCCAATTTTTCCTACTGCCTTGCACTGTAACTAGCTATGAGTGATGAACGTTGTACACTATTACAATTTAGCAATGTTATACATGTAAGATGCTACACAGAGTTACGTACCAGAGTGGTGGTCACCATTTCCTCAAACCACTTGGACTGGGCTTGATTGTAAAGATCCACGCAGCGCATCAGGTCATCTCCTGAAAAGTTCAAGACAGCAACACGTTAGTTTTCTCTAGCCAGTGTTACAGAGCTTAGAAGGAAATTGCAGCTCAGGTTTTGTACACAGACCCAGAGGGTTTGAAGGTCTTGTCCTGGTGGAGCTGAAGGCAGTTCTGTTACATGGTGTTTGTTAGGTGCAACAAATTCAACAAAATGCATACACTTGATGTGTGGTAGAGATCAGGCGGTTGGGGTGAGAAAAGACCAGGGGGAAAGACAAGATTTTAACATTAAGCAATATTTTACAAAATGCCCAGAACTATGAAAGCAAGTCACTTCAGTTAAAAAAAATAAAAAGATCGCAAACAGAAAGTTATATCTGAAAAATAAAACAATTAACATGGGAAATCAATAGTAATGAGTCATTGAGCTGCAGGGTAGCACTCTGTGGGTGAGACCACATTCTAGGACAGATCTGTTTAAAACAGGAGTGAAACATCAGGCTCAAGCTGTCTGATATTGAGGGATGCTAATTTGCAACCTCGACCCACTTGCACACTCCTGCGTTCTCCAGCCTCTGAAGATGCATGATTCCAGTCGAGCTCTGGCTTCCTCCCATGATCAGGGCACTAACACAATAAGCTGCAATTATTTCAGTTTTTTCTTTGTTGCAGGACTCTGCTCTGACAGAGAGGGAAAGGTGGGTGGAAAATTTGAAAGGTATGTCTCGGGTATTTCTGCTTTCTGGCTAGTAAATTCTCTTTCTTCTTTAAATGAGGCTCAGTTATGCTTTTCCTAACGATTTGATGCCTAGGTCCAGGGCTCAAATTCATCCTGTTCTTTTAGGTGTAAAAAGGTCTTTATACATAAACCGTGGAAGAATCAAGCTTTAAAAACAGGATGCCATAGACCAAACAAGTAAACGCATATGGAAGTCTCTCAAGGACTTAGAACTTGGAGTGGCAACCAAACTCTGTGAAGAAACCAGGATTCAGGGCTTAAAGCTTGGCGGTAAGCTTATCCACACAGACAGGGGATATGTCTGATCTGACATGACAAGTCCAAACTAATGGCGCCCACACTCCAGGAGGCTACTCAGGAGCTAAACTAATGGCTCCCACACTTCAGGAGGCTCCTCGGGAGCTATCTGACTTGGGGTTATCCTCCACCCACCCAAGTGAGTCTGAGCCATTGCACAGCTAGAAACATGAAAGCCATGCAACACATGAACAATCCATGGGAGCAGAAAGCAACACCACAGATCAGCAACCGATGGGATCATAGAAGGGCTCTGGTCTAGGGCTCTCTAGTCCTGTTGTCCACTTGCAGCAGGCCTCATTTTAAAGCTAGATCACTACATGCTGCTGCTGTGTGCATCGCAGGAACCCCAGCTGGGCTGCTGGGTAGTGCTGCCTGCGGGGATGAGGCGAGTCCTCCCCTGCCATGCACTGCAACAGTGACAAAAAGTGAGGGAGAGACGGGGAGACTCACACCAAACTCTGGGTTACTCCCATCTCATCTTCAGCTCATCCTTGCTTGTTCAATAAATATCTATTACAAACAACTTCTGAGGACCCAAGAGAATGCAGAGAGGCTGTGAATTTGCAGATGGATAAAGAGCATCTCTCATGGAGCCCCCTGTTGCAAACATATAACTTCTGTTTCTCCTCAGACAGTTGTCTATGCACATGGTCACACTGCCAATGACTCTGCTCAGCCTCCTCAAAAGTCAGACAGGCTATCATGTCATGAAGTTTCAAAAGCCTCAGAACTATGAAGAACCACCCTGCCAAGGAATGGACCTATGAAGGGATGAAACATGGAAGGCCTAGTTAAAACATATTTTGAGCAAAGGTACTGACAGAGCTGCACATATCAGCTTGGAGATCTCAGGAAAGACAGTTCCTGAAGGATCGTGTAGAAGTGGTTTGAGCCTCTGTAAAACGTGCACAGGTCACATCAAGTAGCTGTGTCCTCAGTACAATATAATGCACACTACTATATCCTCAGTATCCCTTCAACAGAAATCACTGAGTAGCAGTGAAGAAAAGACAAAAAGTTCACTTTCAAAGAAAAAGACAGTAATAGTAAGCGTAACAGGCACCCACATAGTTGTGGGTGACTGTGATTTAGGAAAGAATCAAGGAAGGAACAATGATACAAGGAAGAAATATCCTCAGCTGAGTTTATTTGAATCTGACTTTGAAAGTTTCACAAACATTCAGTTATCTCAGCACACTTTCACAAAACAAAAGGACAATTCGCCCTTCTTTTACTGTTCTCACCCCAACTATCAAAAACATAATTTTGTGAGGTCTGACTTGGAAAAACTGTGTTTGTTTCTTCAGAGGATTTAACACCAAACACATTTGTAGCATGGTTCACTTTGTAGCTACAGTATTAAAAAACAAGAAACAGTTGCACCTCAGCCTGTTCCTGCCCTCCCTTGGGCTGCGCTCGCCTCCAGCCGCTGACAGACACAGGTACTCACCCGCCTGAGTGGACTTCCGTCTCGCCTTCTTGATTTCCTCCTCTGTCTTGTTGCTGAGCTTCACCTCTAGCTGCTGCGTTTTCATTTCTAGATCCTTCTGTCTCTCTGTCAAGGCTTTCCGGGCCTTGGAGTAATTAAAGAAGAGTCACACGTTTTAGAGAAAAAGAGCTGCCAGCTGCTTTCAGCCATCTATGACTCCTTCACACAGGTATTTGTCAGTTAGAAGTCAGGGACTCTGCCTAAAACTGGGTCCTAACTGGGATTCAAGTCCTTGGGACACCATGAGGTGTTCAAAGCAGTGACCTACCACCATACAGAAGCTGTCACCAACAAATCACAAAAGCATCTGAACTCTTCATAGGTTCTTAGAAAGACACAGTACAAAAAGGCATCATCAGACTTCCACGTTTCTTATTAACCTTCTCACTATTTCTGGAAGAAAGGGGAGCTGGAGCTTCTTCCAAATGTCTTAACCAGCATTACCAAGACAGCTCTTCCATTTGTTTTTCTTAGGATGCAAGTTGTTGAAAGAACTTCAAGTATCTTACAAAACATCTTTTTAAGTACCTTCTGGATTCAATATACACTTATCAGAAACCGTAACAACAGGAACTTTTAGACTTCTTTCAGAAAAACTAATTCAGATTCACGACAACAGCAGTTCGCACTGCAGAAATCAAGAACCTGAGACCTGGTTACAACTGATTATTTAAATTACTTTAAAGTTCTTCATGCTTTTAAAACCTGATTTATTACTAACATTACTGAACTTATACAGAAAAATTAGTAAAGTGTCTTAACAAATAAACATCATTACCACATATACATGCTGTCACCTCACTTGCTGAGGTTGCCTAAATACACAGAAGTCACTTGTTTTGCACATATTCATTACAAAATAGGTCACATTTATTCTTTATCCAGTTATAGTGTTTAAAACTAAATTTGGATGATTCTATTTTGTTAGCACCTTGCAGTTTTCTACAGTCACACCAGCCTGCAAGTTACAAGACTCCAAGCATTACTTGAATTTTTCCAGTCTGCAGTTTTAAAGACCCTGTGCTTGGCTCGGCAGGTCGCAAGAGGGAGCCGCAGGAAAGCAGTCTGGGGAGAAGCTGTGTGCGCACAAGGATGAGTGCAGACACTGTCTTTTCTTTTTCTTATTCCTTCTTCTTAAGGCTATTCTCAAGAGAATGGGGCCAGACTCTTCAGTGGTGCCCAGCGACAGGACAAGGGGCAACGGGCACAAAATGAAGCACAGCAAGTTCCAGCTGAAGATGAGGAAGAACTTCACTCTGAGGGTGACGGAGCCCTGGCCCAGGCTGCCCAGGGAGGCTGTGGAGTCTGCTTCTCTGGAGATATTCCAGCCCTGCCAGGACGCGGTGCTGTGCAGCCTGCTCTGGGTGACCCTGCTTCGGCATGCCCCTGCTGCGGCAGGGGGGTTGGACTGGGTGACCCACAGAGGTCCCTTCCAACCCCTAACATTCTGTGATTCTAACTCATTCTTTTCAACATCCCTAGTGAGGACTGTGTTCCTTTGCAAATATGACTGTGAAGAACTTTTTGTTTTGCAGAAAAATGCCTTCCCCGCATACATACAGTCTAATAACCTTGTGTATCCTGCAATAATTCTGACCCCGGCAAACTTTCTCGTGTGCATTCTGGTCTTTCATTAAAGTCCAAAAAACCTCCTGGGATGACTGAGCATGGTATTTTCCTTTCCAACTGACACCCAAGAGCAGACTGAGTGAGGACACTATTTGGCACAATCGTTTTGGCAGCCGAGGCACGGGTATCTCGTTTCCTGCCAGCTGCTGATAAGAGAGCACTTTTTGTGGGTATAACTCTGCCTAAACCACAACCTCAGCTACCCACTTGGTGTTCATGTTGTAACTGCCCCTGACACTTGCATGCTGCTGCTGTTTGGGCTTTTTGGGTTAGGATGTTTGCTGTGAGGCGCAGAAAATGGGAACTGGGAGAGGGTTTGTGACTTGCCACGCCAGGTTTGAGCTGCCTTCCTTGGCCATCTGCTTTTGGCCACTGCACAAGAGGAAACTGAGCCAGGCAAACCTTTGGCATGACCTGCTACTATTCTAAGGCAAGGTTTTTTAATTTTGAGGGCAATAGATGTGACTTTCAGATGCACGCAAGCAAGGATTATTTTCATGAAGTGTGTTGGAAATACGTTGTCCCAAACTGAGAAGGGAGGGATGAACCAAAAAGCCAGTTCAGCAGTAATGTGTTAGCCCTGCCTATAGCCTCCAGCTTCCCAAACCTCAGCAGACGACACCTGGGGCCCAGCAAAGCATAACTAACAGCAAAAACCTTTGTGGTTCTTCATGGCAGAACAAAAACTTTTCACAGGGCAGCTGCTTTTCTGTTCAAACCAGCAGTATCTCATAAACTTTCCAGTTTGTTCTCTGTTCTCACCTTTTCAACTGCTGCGTAGCGGCTGGCCAGATGCTTCCGTAAGTCTGCAATATGGTGGTCACACTTCTTCATGTCTTTCTTAAAGTTCTCTCTGAAGTTGAGCAGGGGTTTCTCTACCTCGCTCTGAAGCTGGTAACGAAAAGAAAGGAAGAAATGGCAATAATGAGGATCCGGGCAGTAATTTCTGGCTCTTCTGCTGAGCAGAGCTCAGGACAGAGAGGAAACAATACACACACTGCAGCCAAAGGCAATGTCATAGAGCAACACTTCTCTTCCCCAGGAGAGCTCTGAGTGAAGCTACTGCAAAATTCAGCTCTTTGCAGGACAGATCTGTTAAGGGAATATTTAATGAACAGAGAAAAAGGACAGAATGGCTGTCTTTTTCTCTCCCCGTTAAATCATATCTCTCTTCTTACACATAAGATCAAACTGTAGGCGATATCCAGGACACAACTTGAGGTGCTCTGATTCTGGCCTAAGCAATGCAACTACCTCGCTCTGAAGCTGGTAACGAAAAGAAAGGAAGAAATGGCAATAATGAGGATCCGGGCAGTAATTTCTGGCTCTTCTGCTGAGCAGAGCTCAGGACAGAGAGGAAACAATACACACACTGCAGCCAAAGGCAATGTCATAGAGCAACACTTCTCTTCCCCAGGAGAGCTCTGAGTGAAGCTACTGCAAAATTCAGCTCTTTGCAGGACAGATCTGTTAAGGGAATATTTAATGAACAGAGAAAAAGGACAGAATGGCTGTCTTTTTCTCTCCCCGTTAAATCATATCTCTCTTCTTACACATAAGATCAAACTGTAGGCGATATCCAGGACACAACTTGAGGTGCTCTGATTCTGGCCTAAGCAATGCAACTTGGTTAAAATTAAAAAAAAAAAAAAAAAAAAAGCACACAAACTACTAACCCTGACTGCAATAAGGTGAGTCAGTGCACCGTGGTGACAGGTCTGTGTCTCTTGTACAGCGAACAGAGACCTAACAAGGGCACATATTATTTATTTCTGCAAAGTATAAGGAAGCCTAAAAAGACCCTGTGTATTTAGTTGAAACTCTTTACGTGGTGGCAAGAAACCACTGAAATGAACTCATGAGAGAGCCCTCAAGACCACCCATGTGACTTATCTCTTACAAGCAGGACTTGACAGACAGTATTCTAAACTCTGAGTCTGTATCGTATTGCTCTTCACCCTTCTGATACACAGCTTCGACATCTAGGAAATGTGCTCTGAAGGGATTCAGCTATTTCACCTCCCCAGAAGCAACCAAATACTTCTTTTCTATTGTCCCTCCTGTGGGGATGCTGGATTCCATCAATGCAGGCGAGTTGGGTCTGTAATCACCCAACATGGCCACAGTGGAGCACTACAAAATAGTCCCTGAAATCAAGTATTTTTTGCCTTTCTCCAGTGCTATTTTAATGGAGAAGGAAACGTTTTAACCGGTACAGTCTTTTAATGGAGAGAGGCTACAAAGATAGCCAAGGGCAGACAGCACACATCCTAGAGAGGTTAAACAAGCCTAAAGCAGAGCTTGTTTTGGCAGATGAAGACTGGCACCACAGTGATCTAATATGGCCTACAGCTATCTGCAGGTGAGATGCAAGGGTACCAGAGCCAAATTCTTCTTCGCAGAGCCAGAAAATGTCACAACAGACAATTGAGCTTTGGGAGGTTCACGTTAAATGTCATTTTTTTAAAAAATCACCAGAACAGTAGCTGGGCACTAGAACAGGTTGACCAGAGAAGTCAAGAAATCTCTGTCCTTAGAGATATTCAAGATTCTGCTAGTCAAAGATGTATCTGGCTTGATCCACTGTGGGCGACAGTCCTGCTCTGACTGGGGCAGAGGGGTTGACTAGAAAATTCTGGACAGGATTTTTATGTCAGTCTTATCAGGATGGCCTCAGGCAAGCAAATAAAGACTTGCTGACAACTCTGTGGTCCAGCATGGTTGTACAAGCTCTCAAGAACAGAGGTACAAACTGATAATTGTGCCAGGAGCATTGTCAATGCTCAATGAAACAAGAACTGGAACAGAAAGACGTTCAGGATGGCTTCAGTGAACTCTAGAGGCAAGACATTACAAGTGATAAGAGATGTCAGTGCCCAACTGAGTTTGAAATAGCTAAACAGTCTGCGCGCCTTTGAGACTGCTCTGTTAATAAGTGGATTAACCTGGGTAAACAACCCAAAATGAGTCAATCATCCTCAGTGGCAATCCAACTCTTCTGACATAAGCAGGCATTGCTGTGAAAACCCTTATAAAAATCCGAAGGGCCAGGGACATGCCAAACCAGAGGTCATTTCACTGGTAGTTCTACTTGCCTAGTAGAAAGTAAAGATAGTTGTTTATTTCACATAGTTTATAATGGGATGGGAAATTCTGAGACACTCAGAAAGATGGGAAATGCATCACCAGGAGGCTCAAAATGCAAACAAGGCAATTGCTTTCCCCAGTTTTGTGTTCTGGGAATCAGAGAGGCAGACTTCTCAGTGAAGGCAGTCATCTTTCCTCTAGTATCATCATCCTGCTTGAACTTCCATCTTGCAAGAGGTACCATAAGCTATCAAAATAGAGTCACATGTGAATGACCCAGGCTTTTAAATGTTGCATTGCAGTTGGCCATATTTATTCTTTTTTTCTTTTTTTTGCTAGAAGATCTTGCTAGAAGGCTTTCAAATGCATGCAACAGATGAAAAAAAAAACCTGCTCTCCTAAGATGAAGAGATTTAAAGCACCAATGTATACAGACAACTCTTCACCCTTACCCATCACTGAATGGGTGAGATGTGACAAAGGACATGAAATCTCAAGAAGTTTGCTAAGAGAAGTTATCAGGTATAGGACAAAGAACCTGTATCTCTGTACCACTATGCTAGAGGCAGGCAAAAAGACAAGAGGCATAGGGTCGGCAAACAGACAGAGGCATACGGCCAGCAAATAGACAGAGGCACAGGGTCAATCACACTATTAGATGATGGAGAAACTACACAGCTGAGTTATCAGAAACCACACTTCAAAAATTCCTCTGATTTCACAAGTACTTGTTTTCTCCTTTGCTCCATCAGCACCATTTTCCAGAATGGCTGGTAACACACCGTCATATCCAGGCCATCCCACCGTGACTTCAGCTAGTACAACACGTGTGCATCTTCTCTTCCAGCAGAACTCACCTCCTGGAGCTCAGTGAAGGATAATCAGATAGCTGGAGAAGAGGTTCAGTGCCTTGATGGCCTTCTTGAAGGACTCCTCGTGCGCATGTATCTACAGCTGCCATGCCAGTCTGTACAGGCATTGGTAGCGTAATAATATTTTATGTTCCAAGTGCCATGGAAGTGCTGTTCGTGACCCCCAGTGCCATGCCAGTCTGTACAGGCATTGGTAGTGCAATAATATTTTATGTTCCAAGTGCCATGAAAGTGCTGTCACCTTCTCCAATCTGTTCATGACCCCCAATGTAACAATGCCCCAAAGGACTGTCACAGTTGTTGTTCAGCATCTTCATGGCTGGTGTTTATGTCTGAATACTCTTGGTGTGCTCTGCGCTGTACTGACTGCTTGTGCCAGCACTGACTGGTTTCATTTGACTATCAATAAGAAATATGATTACTACCTCTAAGAATAACTTCTCTGAAAATAACAGCAATAATCAATATGCTTAAAAACATATTCCGTTAACAAAAGAAAGCTGGAACTAGGAACGCAAAGCAGGTACGGGAACAGTGGGGAGAATTCAGAGGATGCTACAGAAGTTTCTGTGCAGGGTTTAAGGAAAAGTAAAATAATGAAAGAGCCCCTATATATTGCCTGCCTACAGGCACACACCACTCCAGGGTGCATTTCTTCCTCTTGGAAAACAATACAGGAGGACAACCGGGAGCAAAAAGTATTTCACTAATTACAGCCCTGAAGTAGAAGTTTGAAGCAGAGCAGTGGGTTACCAAGGCAGCGGCTGGTTGCCTGAGTAACCTCTACATAATCACTTACAAACAGTGCAGAGCTATAATTTTCCTCCAGAATATGGCTGTTGTGCTGAGATATCTGCCACTGTATTGAACTTGGTCACCCACAGAGGTTAACATAATGTAACAGGACGCAAGAATATGTCACATGTGGTGGAAAAAACAGATAAATACCATCATTTGTACAAGAAATCTCCTTGGGCTTCACTTGAGATACGATCCAAAAATAACATGAAGTAAATCCCCACTGCACTTTTCAGAAAGGCAAACAATACGAAGAAGTCAGAGTCCTGGTTCTCTTCATTCCAGACAGATACAGTAGATTCTTGTTGAGAAGCCAAATATGATTTTTTATTTCTTCCTTGCAGACGTAATCTGTACAAGCTCTAGGTAAACTTACTTGTACAGGCTGGAACTTAGAGCCCTAAGTGAATAACCTCCAGAATCAGTTTTCCCTCTTTTTACTTAATGAAAAATTAAGGCCAGATTTGTTTTAACTTACTCATCATGTAGATTATTTAATCTAGTTTATTTAAACTGTGATTTGGGGAGGAAGAATAAACAGAGTTTCAATAAGTTTGTTCACCAACTTATTAATTCCAACAAGCACTGCAGAGAGATCAATTACAGGGCAAAAATCTTTGCAAAAGGAAGAACTGTTTACCTTAGAAGAAAATTTGAGATGAACCTCTGCTTCATCAGCTAGACTCTTCTTTAGTTGAGCCCAAGCCTCTCCTAGTGTGCTGAAAGAACACAGAGCGACAACGATCAATGCCCTGTCTTCTGCACATCCTCCCAGCGAGATGTGTCAGATAGCGTCAGACAGATATGGCACAGTGCTTTGCACCACATCATGCTCAGTGAAATCATGGAAAAGTGATAGCAGAAATCTGAGAAGATAACTGAACTCTGTGACCAAGGCAGAATTATATTTGCATTGTATGTAGCAGATCTTTGAAAACACTGTTCATAATGATCTCCAGTTACAGAAATGCCACAGTCTCCATAAGCAAGACTCTTCAGTTTCTTATCCTTACCAACCTTACAAAAAAAAAAAAAAAAAAATCTTCACCGTTGCAGTTTTCCCATTGTCTCTTCTACTTTACAGCCCATCTTTGGTGAACAGATTACTCTACTTCTCCTCAGAGAAGCCTTTCAGTATTTGAAAATTACCAGGTCTTTTCTCCACGTTCTTTTTCCTTCAAAAAACTTTTCTAGATGACAGCAGTTTAGGTACGCTCCTCCATGCCCTCTCCAACAGCCTAGATTCCTCTTAATGCGTCATAACCAAAACTACACCATCTCCCAGCAGAGATCTTCCAGTTGCTAAACTGGTAACAGATTATTTCATATCAGACACT